GGGGGGCGGGTTCTGACCTGACACCTGCAAACTCCTACCCACCAGGAGCAGCTCTTGGCCGAAATGGAAAGGATGCAGATGGAGATTGACCAGCTGCGGGGGAGGCCACCATCCTCCTACTCTAGGTAGCCCTCCTGCCCCACTTCTGCCCATAGAGTCCCCTTGGCCAAGCTCATCCCTTCTGATCCCCACTCCCTGTACTCCTGAGACTTCCATTGATCCCTCTTATTTTTGACCTGACCTCATGACCTCTGACCCTAGGCAAGTCCCTGTGACTCCTGACCTCTGTTCTTTTCCTGACCCCTTGGTCCCTGATTCTCCTACCCATGCCCACAGGTCCCTCCCTGGCAGTGCCCTGGAGCTCCGTTACTCCCAGGCACCCACATTACCTTCTGGTGCCCACCTAGACCCTTATGGGGCTGGCAGTGGCCGGGCAGGCAAGAGGGGCCGCTGGTCAGGGGTCAAGGAAGAGCCCTCCAAGGTCAGCAGCCACCTCTGGGGCCTAGGTCTTGGGCGGGAAGTAGTGGGAAATAGAGCCAAGTCCCTGGGGTTCTGAGGGGCAGGGTCATCTGGACTCACCCTGTCTTCTTTCCTTCCCCCACAACTCCATCATCCCCACTTGCCTATATGTCTCTTCATGTGGATGTCCACTACCTGGTGAGAACCTCAGTAATGATGGTATGGGAGAGGGGTGTGGAATCCCAGAGTGGTTGGGGCCAGGTGAAGAAAAGAAGTGGGCCAGGTCGAGAATGAGGGGAGCAGGTGGAGTCATGGGTGTGGGTGTGGTTTGGAGAGGGTTGGGTGAAGGGAATAAGCTGGGCTGGGAAAAGTGTTAGGGCAGGTGGGCAGGGTCAGGGAGGGTGGGCACAGTCAGGATCAGTGAGTGAAGACCCTATGTCAACCTCAGCCTCCACCTACCTGGCTTCCTTTAATCCTCATACAGAGACAGGATTGGGAGCGGTCTGCACCTGCGGGGTCCATGCCACCCCCATTCCCTGGGGAGCTGGATGGCTCAGATGAGGAGGAGGCAGAGGGGATGTTTGGAGCTGAGCTGCTCTCTCCCAGTGGGCAGGCCGATGTGCAGACGCTGGCCATCATGCTTCAGGAGCAGCTGGAGGCCATCAACAAGGAGATCAAGTGAGCACTGGCCCAGTCCTGCCCTGACCTGCCTGAGCTAGCCCCCAGCTCCTCTGGCTCTGAAGACGATCTGAAATCCTGTCTCCTCTTCCACCATCCTCAAGAATTTATGGCAGCCCAACACTCCCTCCAGTGTCTGGGAATGCCCTAGAATACAGTCAGAAGTCTTTTACGTGCTATATACATATATATTCCCCAGCCAGTACTTGCAATTTCCCAATGCACACCAAAAACTACATTACAAAATACCAAAATTCTCAGGAATCTTCCAATATACCATGGATTTTGTGGCTTCACAGAACCAGTACCCTGATTCTTCCCAGTACCCCAAGAATCTCAGCACAACACAACAAGGCCCCCAACCATAACCACCAAGAATCTCACCCTAACACATTAATCAAGAACCTCAACTCTATAAAGTCCTCAGTTTATTAAGAAGCCCCCACTGATGTGAAGTCTACCTTGATTTCCCAGCAGTTCCCCTACTTAGCAATTCTCCTATAATAACACACTCTCCATGGGTCCCCAGCACAACCACCAATGTGACCACCACCTTTCATTCAAACTCTGACTTGATGTGTTGACTCTCACATACTGAATCTGTGACCTTCCCAGATCCTAGATTGACCCAGGGTCCCTGATCTCGCCCTGATCGTATTATGACCTTGCTCTTGCAGTCCTCCCTGAAACTTGATCTCTTGCCCATAATAATCCATTTATGATTTTCTAGAACAACTTGGTTATCATCAGGGCAACCCTGATGCAGATTCTGATCACCTTGACAGCCCTAATCCTTCCATGACTTCCTGAGACTATCATGACTCCTTGGCTCCTCATGAATCCACCCAAAACCCTCTAAGTTCATGGCACCTTCCCCAGAATTGCCCTTGCCCTACCAAGCCTTTCTGGCCTCTTGTGACCCCCACTCTCCCTCTCCTATTGTCTACTTCAGACCTCTCTCCCAGTCTTTCCCATTTCCCTCCTCAGGCTAATCCAAGAGGAGAAGGAGACGACAGAACAGAGGGCAGAGGAACTGGAAAGCCGGGTGTCCAGCTCAGGCCTGGACTCACTGGGCCGCTACCGCAGCAGCTGCTCGCTGCCCCCCTCCCTCACCACCTCTACCCTCGCCAGCCCCTCCCCTCCCAGCTCTGGCCATTCAACACCCCGTCTGGCACCCCCTAGCCCTGCCCGTGAGGGCACTGACAAGGCCGTGAGTGTTCTGAAGTCTTTGTAGCCTGGTAGGGGGAGGGGAAGAGGTCATAAATAGGGCTCCCCAACAAACAGCAACAATAACGCCACATGCCAGTGACTTCCAAAAGCAACCTCAGCTTTTTCTAAAGGTTCCAACTCAAAGGCAAAGGGGAGACCAAGTCACTGGGTCCCTGAACCCTTACTTCCACTTTAGTCAGATCTTGTCAACTTTTACTTGTCTTACACATGAAGTTTCTGCATAGGACTTTTTAGAAATGTTTTTGTAGCTAAACATACATTTGAGAACTATAATTACATCCTCAAAATTGACCTTTGAGAGAGACAAGGAGATATCACCCCATTTTATTTCCTTATGCCCAGACTTACTGCTTCTAGAACCTGTAACTCATTAGCTTTCTTTGAGGTCAAGGGTATCCCACTTCTGACACCAGAAGCAAAGATAATGTAAATGTGAGTTTGGTAGGCTCCAGAGGTTTTTTCTTTTTCTTTTCTTTTCTTTCTTTTTTTTTTTTTTTTTTTTTTTTTTTGTGGCTGGCCAGTATGGGGATCTGAATGCATGATCTTGGCATTGCCAGCACCACGCTCTCCCAAGTGAGCTAACCATCCAGCCCCAGGGAAACTGCAATCATTGTGTTTATGTTTCTGCAACTCAACCCTACTTGATCTAGGCTACCTTCAGATATGGTGTCCCAAACCAGGGCCATCCCAGATACCCTCTAGTAGACATCCCAATTAATGAGGAGTCCCCAACATGACTCCAACTCAATTCAGCATCAATGCCTCTCTGTCTCCAGAATCATGTCCCCAAGGAGGAAGCTGGGGCTCCACGAGGGGAGGGGCCAGCCATCCCAGGAGACACCCCACCACCCACACCCCGCTCTGCCCGTCTTGAGAGAATGACCCAGGCCTTGGCATTACAGGCAGGGTCTCTGGAAGATGGGGGACCCTCACGGGGAAGGTCAGCAGGGACAAGGGGTAGGGACAGGGAGGGACTTCCTTGGGAGGATGAGACAGGAGAGTAGACAAATACTTGGGAGGAGAGGAGGCATCCGAGAAGTGGTCTGCCCTCCCTCTCTTCTGCTTACCCAGTGAGGGCACTCCAGATTCCCTGCACAAAGCCCCCAAGAAGAAGAGCATCAAGTCATCAATAGGCCGTCTCTTTGGCAAGAAAGAGAAGGGGCGAATGGGACCCCCAGGCAGGGACAGCTCTTCTCTGGGTGAGTACCCTAATTCCAACCTTCTCTCATTTGTTTCTTCCTTCCTTCCTCCCTTTCTTCCTACTTTTTTTTTTCTTTTTTACATTCATCCATGTCTTCATTTGGTAATTCATGTAGAATGTGAAAGGACAGGACTTGCCAGAGGTAGACAGAAGGAGGAAGGAAAAAGAAAGGGCCCTCTTGGGCAGGCCTGGGTGACTGGGTGGGTAAATGAATTTATTTCATTTAGTTATTTTTTTAATACAGAAAGAGAGTGGGGCCTGCTAAAGGTAGGGCATCTTCCAGTGGTGTGCTGGAGCCTGCTCATACTGGCTTATGAGAGCTGTTATTTCAGGAACTTAGTGAGCTGCTTGACAGCACATTGGTATCTTGAAATTGGCCATGGTGAGATTACTTACACCACAAAGATTGGCAAATGCTACATATCAGGGAATCTATTCTCCCTCCTCAGGGAGCCAGTTGTTAGGCATTTACCAGCACACCACTTCCACCTTACCAAGACCAGCCCAGTGAGTCCAGCCCTGTTTTTGAGTTTTCTCCAAGTCATTGCCTGGGAGCTGACATTGGCTGCTGTTTGGCTTATCACTCTTCAGTGTGGCCTCACTCACTGCTCCCGCAGGGCCTCTGTCTTCCTGGCATCCTTCTCACCACCCGCAGGATGAGAGATTCTGTCTCCCCCTTGAGACTTTCCAAATTTTGACTTTCCATATTTCAACTTCTCCCCGCCTTCAGCTGGAACACCCTCAGATGAAACATTGGCCACTGACCCTCTGGGACTAGCCAAGCTGACAGGCCCAGGAGACAAGGATCGAAGGAACAAGAGGAAGTGAGTGTGTGTGTGTGTGTGTGTGTGTGTGTGTATGTATGTGCATTTGTGTGTATGGGGTGGTGGTGGAGGACATAAGTGAGAATAAAATGCTGGGAGGGAGTGTCCATGATCCTGAACTTGCTTGCACTGGAATATAGGAACTCCTAGAGTTTTTCCTTATTTTTTCTCTCTCTTGATGGGAGTGGGGGGAAGATTCACATGTACTTTTTTTTTTTTTTAACCTTCTGTCATGTTTTCTACATTCATAAAAATGCATTTACCAGTGTGTGTGTGGTGAAAGGGGCCATCCAAGGGGCTGGGGGATCTCCATCCTTGACAGCTCCTGCCCTGGTCCCTTCCCCATCCTCCCAGGCATGAACTCCTAGAAGAGGCCTGCCGCCAGGGCCTGCCTTTTGCTGCCTGGGATGGGCCCACTGTGGTCTCCTGGCTGGAGGTACTGGGGCCCAGAAAAGCCCTATTGATCCCCAACCCCTGTGACAGCCCCACTGTCAGGGGCTGGCGGGGTCCACCCAGCACCATCCTGCTCCTAGCCCAGAGGCGGAAGGTGGGATGGACAGGGGAGGTGAGGGCCTGGGAGGGGTCAGGGTTCCTGTCAATCTAAAAAGCTTCTTTCTCCTTCTCCTTCACCCCTGTCCCTCTGGCCATGCCCACCTGGGTCCTTCTGTTGTTTCACTCTGACTGTCTCTTCATCTCTTCATGTCTCCCTGTGTGTGTCTCTCTCTGGGATTCTCTCTCTCTGTTCTTCCCATGTCTCTGTATCTCCCTTCCTATATCTCTGTGTGTCTGTCTATCTCTCCCCTTTCTGTCTCTCCTCGTCTCTGTCTCTCCCTGTCTGTCTCCCCCGGACTCTTCCACATCCTTTGCCTTTCCTGTCTGCTTGTTTTCCCTGTGAACTTTCCCGTGTCGCTCTGTTTTGCTCCACGTGACTCTCGGTTCCCTCTCTCCCTTTCTTTCTGTCTCTGTCCATCTTCCCCCATGTCTCCTTCCATATCCTCTTTGTTCCCTCCTCCTTCTCTTCCAGCTGTGGGTAGGCATGCCTGCCTGGTATGTGGCCGCTTGCCGGGCCAATGTCAAGAGTGGAGCCATCATGGCCAACTTGTCGGACACGGAGATCCAGCGCGAGATCGGCATCAGCAACCCGCTGCATCGGCTCAAGCTGCGCCTCGCCATCCAGGAGATGGTCTCCCTCACCTCACCCTCAGCTCCCGCCTCTTCCCGCACGGTGACTGTTCACCACCGTTCCCAGTCCTCGTTGTCTCAGGGACCCACCTCTCACACTCAGACTAGCTAGTCCTGGGCCTGCTCCCTCCAGCTCCTCCCATAGACCCTGCTCACCGTGGGCTCTCCCCTCCCCTGAGGTCTCTGGGCCTCCCCTCAACTCACTCTGCTCCTTGGCACTTGCTGCTCCCGTGGCTTGGAACACCCCTCCCCCTGTTTTCTCCAAGCCTGGCTCTTTCTCATCCCTGAGGTCTCAGTGCAAAGGTCACCACCTCTGAGAGGCCTTCCCTAACTCAACAGCTCAACCAGTCACCCACCATCACCCCGGCACATCAACACCTTCCAATCTTTCCTCATAGCATTTACTCCCTTCTAATTATTTTATTCTTTTGTTTCAACTTTTTATTAAGAGAAATTCCAAACATACAAAAGATTACATGTAAACATGCATAATTCAGCAATTTTTAAACCTTTGCCATACTTGCTATGTATGTATTAGGACATCATAATAGGTTAGTCCAGAATATTATTTCAGCAAGTCATCTTTTTCTCCTTCACAGCCACCATGCCCTTATCACACTTATGAGCTTTAACATTATTGTTAATTTCATCTGCTATTCAGTCTATATTCAGATTTCCCTGACATATTTATAATATGTTGATTCTCTCTCTCCCACCATGATACAAGGGCCTCATCTAAATCCCAGACCCTACAATGGTGCCTGACGCTCACCAGGAGCTTTATAAATGTTTGAATCCTTGTAGGAATTTCTAACTCATGGGGTTGTGAGAGCAGTTGCCCAATAAATGTGAACAAACCCCCCCAAACATTTGCCCCATTGCTGTGTCTGCCACCTGCTTCTGAATCCTCTGTACATCTGTGTGAGGTCAGAGAGGTGACATCACTTGCACAGGGCCACACAGCAAAATGTATGGCGCCTTCAGGAGCACGACCCCATTCCCCTCCCGCATCCAAAGCCCTATACCACCCCCATAACACCTCCCGCATCTCAGTCCACAGGAAATGTGTGGATGACACACGAGGAGATGGAGTCCCTTACGGCCACGACCAAGCCTGTGAGTGCCCTCTGCCGGCGGCCATGGGGGTGGCACTAACATTTACCTGGGGGTGGGGGCGGGGACCGATTCTGTGGCTGGCTGTCAGTCCGTCCCTTCCGTCCTCCTCTGCCTGCCCCTTAACCCACCCTTCTCTCCCCTCTTCCCACTAACGGGTCAGGAGACCAAGGAGATCAGCTGGGAGCAGGTAGGGGGCGCGGGGCGGGGTGTGGGCGCATGAACAGGCTGTGGTGCACGCTGCATGGACACCCCTCTTTCTCTGAGCCTCCCCCAACTCGGTCTCTGCCCTCACCGGGACGTTCTATCATCCCTGTGGGGGGACGGGGGTGGGGTGGGGACTGTGCCAGAGCTCAGCTCTGGACTGTTTCATTGTGGCTTGATGGAAGGCGACATGGAAGCCCAGACTGTTCCATTGTCGGCTTGGTGCACTGGCAATTTCATTATTGTGGGTTGGGGTGTCTAGGTGCTGTTCCATTGCTGTAATTAGAGGGAGACGTGGAGCACCTTGCTTTCCTTACCATTGAGGGGAAAGGGCGCTACACTGGACTGTAGCGGGGCAAAGGGGCAAGCACTGGTTATGGTGGTAGTGAGGCAGGTCAGGCTGGATGAGAAGTTGGGGACGACGAGCTACGTTTTGTTCTCAAGAAGAGGGGCATGAACTCCCCTGAGGTGGAATAACTATGTTGGACTGTGGGCTCTGTCTCCAGCCAGGGAAAGGTGTGGATGTCTCCTTATGCTAGAAGGAGTGAAGGACTTTGGGCTGATTCAAAATATTGTCCTATTCAACGTGGTCCCCTGAGAAATAAAGGGGGAAAAGAGGGTAGGACCAAAACAGAATATTGTCCTGGGCTAGATATAGCATCAGGACATTTGCAAGCGTGATGTTCCTTTGTTGGTGGGAGAGCTGCGTTGGAAGAATCCACTCTCCCGACTTGGGGGAGTAGTGATGTTGGACTGAGTTGGGACAGTGTCAGACCAGTGCTTCTCAAAATTTAATATACTCATATAGTTCACATTACCTGGGGACCATCTGAAAATGCAGATACTGATTTCAGTAGGCCTGGGGTGGGATCTGAGAGTCTGCAATTGCAGCAAGTCCACAGGTGGTGGTGATGCTGTGGGTCCAAGGACCATGCTTTGAGTAACCAAATTCTTCAAATTCTGTCATTATGAAGGGGTAGGAGACAACTTTGGATTAGTCCATTGTCCTGAGCAGAAATTGGCATTGTCCTGCTATGAGGTGGGGAAAGAAAAACCTTGGATTGGGGTCGGACTGTACCCCTTTCATATACACATGGGAAGGGGCCAGAGGACCTGACCCCTCCCTCACCTGCCCATGGCCCCAGATCCTGGCATATGGCGACATGAACCACGAATGGGTGGGGAACGACTGGCTGCCCAGCCTGGGGCTGCCCCAATACCGCAGCTACTTCATGGAGTCGCTGGTGGATGCCCGAATGTTAGATCACCTCAACAAGAAGGAACTCCGGGGCCAACTCAAGATGGTGGACAGCTTCCACAGGTGGGGGCTGCCTGGCCACTGGGGACAATCGAAGGGGAAGCCCCACCCCTACAGTCTTTGGCGAATGGGACTGGCAATGGGAAATTCCTAGGATTATCTTTGGCCTTTTCTCAGGAAATCCTGACGTGCCCCTTCCATCAGTAAGATGGTCCATAGGAAAAGCTCAGATCCTGAGACAGCTGGGCTAGTTAACCCCCAGCCCCTTCCAGTTTAGCCAATAGGCACTACTGGTTGAAAATGCCCCACCTCCTGGGAGGGTCACAGTCAATAGAACTGGTCAGTGGAACGCCCCAACCTCTCCCAGAAGACCACCGTCAATGGGGAGGTCCCAACAGGAGCCCCAGCCAGTCGAGTTGTGAAGGCTCGTCTGTGACTCCACTTCTCCTGCTGCTCAGGGTGAGTCTGCATTATGGGATCATGTGTCTGAAACGGCTCAACTATGACCGGAAGGACCTGGAGCGGAGGCGGGAAGAGAGTCAGACCCAGATCCGAGGTGAGTAGGAGTGTAAGAGTCCCTCTGGGAGCCAGGTAGGGGAGTATGGGGGGGGGCTGGAGGAGGGATGACTGGTGGGGGAGGGAGGCCAGGAAAGGAAAGAGCACTACCATAAACGGGAGTGGAGCCAGCATGGGAGCGTGGCCAGGAAAAAGGAAACAGGGGTGGAGATATAGTCTAAACTGGACAATCCTGGCCATGAGAGGGGCGAGGCTGAGGGTCCCTTCCGTCCCCAGACGTGATGGTGTGGTCCAATGAGAGGGTCATGGGTTGGGTGTCCGGGCTGGGCCTGAAGGAATTCGCCACGAACCTCACGGAGAGCGGGGTGCACGGGGCGCTGCTCGCCCTGGACGAGACCTTCGACTACTCCGACCTGGCCTTGCTGCTGCAGATCCCCACGCAGAATGCGCAGGTGAGCTGCCGCTCGCCCCCGAGCATGCTGGGCATCCCCGCCTCGCAGACTGCTCGCTCCAACCCTTCTCCCACCTCCACTTGCCAGGCTCGGCAGCTCCTGGAGAAGGAATTCAGCAACCTCATCTCTTTAGGCACAGACAGACGGCTGGACGAGGTGGGCGCGGCAGCAGCTCTGGAGGCTCCGCTCCAAGCTGCTCCTCGGGAGCCGGAGCTGAAGGGGTGGGGCTTAACCTTGCCGAAGACTCAGGGTTGGAGGCGGGGCCAGGAGAGTGGCGGGGTTAGGGGGAAGGGCGAGACCGGGAGTGGGTGGGGCCAATGAGTGGGGCGGAGTCAGGATGGGGCCCAAGGCCCTCACCGGCTGCCCGGTTTATACGCCTAGGACAGCGCCAAGTCCTTCAGCCGCTCCCCGTCCTGGCGGAAGATGTTCCGAGAGAAGGACCTCCGAGGCGTAACCCCCGACTCAGCTGAGATGTTGCCGCCCAACTTCCGCTCGGCTGCAGCAGGAGCCCTGGGCTCGCCGGGGCTCCCGCTCCGCAAGCTGCAGTCGGAAGGTGGGGGGCTCCCAAATGCGACGGTCCTTCCTCCCTTCCCGTTCCTCGGGGTGGAAAATGGACCAGTTCAACATTCCAGGTTCTGAAATGGCCTGGTCCTTTTCCCCACCCCCTCCTCAGGATGTGGAATGGATTAATCCCACACCCCTTCCCCAGGGTGGGAAGTGAACTCGTCCAAGCTGCTTGGGGGACCTTGTTTGAGTCCGTGGCTGCGGGGAAGGGGGGGAAGCCGATGTGGAGCCAGGCGATCGTCGTATTGGGAGGGGAACTCCAAGGGAGGACTCCTGGGGCTGAGGCCAGAGCTGGAGAAACCCTGGGGAGGAACCGGGCGGGCGGGCTGGATGCTCCCGGCTGAACTGCTGCTCGCTCCCCTCCAGGCCAGACTGCTGGGAGTTCCCGGGCAGAAGGCGTTTCGGTCCGGACCTATTCCTGCTAGTGTGGGCCTCCAGGTGAGAAGAGTACTGGGCGGTCTTGGGGGTGCGGGGTGGCACCGTGGATCTGCACTGCTCCAAGCACTGCCCGGCGTCAATGCAGGTGACCTCACTCGGACGGAAGAACTTCCAGAGGCTGGGTTGTTACCCCTGCTGCCCAGAGTGTGGTCTCGCCGGGGAGAGCGGGCGGGGGGCTCGCGCCGCGGACTGGACCATCTGTGCAGACGAGCGGGAGTGCGTGCACCCGCCTCGTCAATGGCCTGGACCAAACCACATGAACTGGACTGAGAGGGGGAGAGAAGAGGCCAGGAAGAAACCCCGCCTTCCAAACTTCCGCCTCCCTTTTCTCTACTTTGTAATTTATTGATGAGTTTCCAGTGGGAGACGGGTGCCCTTTCCCTGCGGGGAGGGGCCGGGGCTCCCCTCCCGGGCCGCATGCAGGGGGAGGCTGCCCAATCCCTTTCTTCCTTCCCAGTCGCGGGGCCCAAGTCTTCCTTCTTCGTCCGAAAGGAGGGGAGGGGGGACTCGCTGCTACAAGCCTCGCCCCCTGTGCCACTCAGCCCCGCCCCAGCGCGTCCGGTAGCCGGCCCCGGGGTCATCTGCAGGCGGGGTCCCCTCTCCCTCCCCCGTGTCTCGTGTGCCCGGGGGCTCCCCTTCCCCCGTGCTGTGGCCGTGTCCGTGCCCCGGGGGTAGGGGGCGCAGAACAGCGCTCCCCGTTCCCCTCCGGCTCCGGGGTTTGCATGGGAGAATCCTCTTTCCACGATGCCACTGGGCGACGTGGCGTGGGGGGGAGGGGAAGGTGGCGGAGCCCTCACCCCGACCAGGCGTCATTCAGTGATCACGGGTAAAGAGAACTGTTTCAAAAAGCTCCCGTGTTGACTGATTTTTTTGTCAGGACGTTCAGAAAGCAAACCGGCCACCTCGAGGACCCTGCAGTGCAGTCTCCTCCCTCCGTGCCTCAGGCCCGAGGCCACCTCGTTCTTCCTTCAGACCCGCGAGTCCAGGCCCCCATTTCCCACCTGCATTCCCTGATGCCCTGAGAATCCAGGCCCCACGCCTGACAGTGAGGGTTCGGGAAGCACGTTTATTCAGAAGAAATAAATATGGCTCGTGGAAAGGGATTGGAAGGCAAGGAGAGGGACACTTGCGCCGCAGCCGCACGGCCGGGTCAGGGTTCCGGTGTTTCCAGCATGTCTGCCAGGGCTCTGGAGAGGAGAACACAGAGGTTAGACAGCCGAAGTGTCCAGAGCTCACCCCCTGCCCACTTCACGGACGGGGAAAAAGAGTCCCAGGGTCCACCAGTAACTCACAGCGGGACAGCGCTTCTCTGAACAGGGCCCTGTGACAGCCCCCCACCCCAACACACACTTACTGGTACAGGGACGAGGAGAAATAGTCGACGTAGCTTCCTGTGGTAGAGCAGAGGAAAGAGGCTTGAGGGGTACGCCACAAGCGAAATTAGGGGGCCACTCAGTACAGAGCGCGGGATTGGGCCCCCTTTTTCCTAATTCCTTCCTCAGACTGGATTCCCTCTACTGGGACTCCTTCGAAGGCCACGACCCTCCTCCTTGCTCTGGGCGTTCCTGTGCTCCCGTGGCCCCGCCCCTTTGGTTCCTACTTGCTTTTGCCCCGCCCCTCAACCTTCTACCCTTCTCCTTCCTCGGTTTCGGCAATTCCCCAGCGTCCCCCTATCCGGGCCCCGCCCCGTCCGCATGCTCACCGCTGGGTCACGCCTTTCCAGATGGCCCCGCCCACAAGCCTTCCTGCCCCGCCCCTTTTATTTCTACTTGCTTTTGCCCCGCCCCTCAGCCTTCTACCCGTTCTCCTTCCTCGGTTTCAGCAATTCCCCAGCGTCCCCCTATCCGGGCCCCGCCCCATCCGCAGGCTCACCGCTGGGTCACGCCTTTCCAGATGGCCCCGCCCACAAGCCTTCCTGCCCCGCCCCTTGCTGGGCCCAGCCCCTTCCTCAGGTTTTTCCTGGGTCCCACCTATGCTCACCTGGAGTGCAGACAGTTTCGCAGACCAATGGGCAGAGGTGGCAGAACTGACAGTGCTGGTGGAGGGGACGGGGAGAGAGAGTGAGCGGTAGGGCGCGGTCGGGGCGGAATCAGGACGCGGACGGGACCGCACGGGGGCGAGAGGCTACAGCAGAGGTTAAGATGGGAGCCAGGATTAGGTGTGGAGTCAAGGCTGCATCAGGGGTAAGAGGCTGGGTCAGTTTAAGATCAGATGCCGGGATTTAGGGCTGAAGGTGTTCAGACGGTTGCGGGCCATCCCGAGGCCTGCTAGATCCTTGAGCTCGGGGGAGGTCTCACCTGGCACTGGTCGCAGTGCTCGTCCATGTTCTCTTCCTCACAGTGACAGCTCTCACATTCAGTGCATCGCTGGGGACCAGAGGAGCCTGGTTAGAGGGAAACCCTAACCCCTCTTGGGAGATAACCTGCCGGTCGTCCACCCCTGGTCATTTCCCCAGACTCTCCACTCTCATTGCCTCCAACACTGAGCTCAGTATCTTCCCCCAAACGCGCTTCTCATTCCTCCCCTGCCCCCGGTGCCCTACCTCAGAGCAAGGCCACGTCCCCCAGTCACTGTAGGTCAAGCAGGCCGGTGTTCTCTTCAACCCTCTCTCCCTATTCTTCCCACAGCCTGTCTGTCAATCCCCAGTCTCCTCCTTCCTACCTCTTGACTCTTTGCCGCAGACCCCTGTCCCTGTCCTCACATCCCCGGGTGCAGCTCAGGTCTCATTCTCTTTCTCCTGGACCACTGCCCCAGCCTCCTCCCCAGCCTCCTGACCTCCAGTCTGTCTCTCAGGTAGACCCAGTAGTATCCTTCTTCACTCAGGACTGACCTTGCCCCTCCCTTGCTCAGAGCCCTCCCATGGCACCCCAGAGTCCCTGGGACAAATTCCAGGTACAGCTTCATGGGTGGATCTGGGCTAGGGACATACATTGCAGAAGGAGCAGTAGCCACACAGGGACCCTGGCTGGTAGTTCCCATACTCCTGCACATCCTGCGGACCTGTGGGGACAGGAGGGCAGCAGTGACCCAGGATGACTCCACTCCTCCCTCCCCCACCGGCCAGGCCACTTACCTGTGTCCTCACCACTCTCCTCACTGGAGGTGCCTCCAGCCACCCCCCTGCCGGTCAGTGGGTTGGGGATGATGGTGAAGGGGAGTTCATCTTCCTCCAGCCCCTCCTCCTCCTCCTCCTCTTCCTCCTCCCTGTGGTCTTGGTTCAGTGGGGCCCAGACCTCAGCCCTCTCCTCTTCATCGTCCTCCTCATCTTCCTGGTCCAGGCTTCCATGGTGGGTGCCTTCCTCTTTCTCTCCCTGCTCTGTACCTTCATCTTCCTCATAGGAGCTGTGGCCCTCTTCCTCCTCAGAATCACCCTCCCTCAAATGGCTTCTAGACTTGACTCCCATGTGTCGTGGGAGATGACGGCTAATTTCCTCCTCGATGGACCCACTGTGACCTTGGCCAATCCCTTCATCTTGGAGGCCGTGGTGCCTGTGGCTGGGGGCTTGGTGGGCAAGCTCAACAGATATGTCCTCATCTTCCTCCCTGGAGACTCTGTGCTGGTGATGCCCAGGGACTTTTGTTTTATACTTATCTGAGAAATCCTCCTCATCTCTCTTGTGGCCTTCGGGCTGGTGGCTTGTAGCATGGTGGCCGAACTTGACTGTGATTTCTTCTTCCTCCTCCTCATCTCCAAGGCTATGGTGGGCATGTCTGGGAACCTGGTGCCAATGTTCAGTGGATAAGTCCTCCTCTTCATCTTCCTTGTCTCTATGGCCTAGGTGCCTGTGGCTGGGGACATGGTGGTGGTGTTCAGCTGAGACATCCTCATCCTCTTCCTTCCTGTGGCCTTGGAGCTTGTGGCCCTGGTGTCCATACTCAGTGGAGACATCACCATCATCATTATCATCATCATTTTCTTCTTCGTGACCTTGGTGCCCATGGCTAGGGACATGATGGTGGTGTTCAGCTGAGACATCCTCATCCTCTTCCTCCCCTTGGCCTTGGTGCCTGTGGGTCTGGTGCCCATACTCAGTGGAGACATCCCCCTCGTCCTCCTCTTCCTCTGCCTCCTCTTTCTCTTCTCCATCATCTTCGTCCCCTCCGTGGCCTCGGTGTGCATGCCTGAGGATATGACGGTGATGCTCACTGGAGGGGATGTCCTCATCATCCTCGTCTTGATGGCCATGGCTCCCATGGCTGAGGAACTGGTGCCCACGCTCAGCTGAGTTTTCCATGTCTTCATCCCCATGGTCTCTGTGCCCACGGGCCTGCTCAACGTGCTCCGTGAAGACCTCCTCATCAGGGACATCCTTCTCTCCCACCTTGTGGCCTTGGTACCTGTGGCCCTGGAGTCGGTGGCCATCTTCCCTGGAGATGTCTTCATCCTCTTCTCCGTGGCCTCTGTGGCTCCAAACAAGATGCCCATTCTCTGTGGAAACATCCTCCTCATTCTCGTCTTGATGGCTTCTATGGGCATGGATGTGGTGGCCCAACTCTGCGGACGTGTCCTCTGTGGGCCCAGAGATGCCTGCGTTGTTCCAGTTGCTGGGGCCCAGTCTAGCCCCTCTCAGCTGCTGGGTCATGGCAGGCAGAAAGAGCAGGGTAGCCACAGCAGCCCAGAGGACAGAAGCGTGCAGCCATGGCCCACAGCGGGCCATGGGGACAGACAGGAACTAGAGCTTCTCCCAGGGCTGGCTCCAGCTGCCTCTGTGGCCACGTGGATGGATTTTAGGGTCCTTGTCCCCTTTTGGATCTAACTCTTTCTTTCTCCGCCTCTGCCTTCGTCTGGCCCTTGCTGTCCGGCTCTGAACACCCCTCTGAGGCTGTCTCTGGAGCCCCCTGACCCCCCTCTTGGGCTCTCCCTCCCCATTTCCCAGCCAATAGGGTCTTTCCCCTCCCTCTCTATGGCTAAATTTACTCTGAGCCCTGAGTTATTCTGGGTCAATCCCCGCCTGCCCCTCCCCTCCTGCTCCTTCTCCTCCTCCCAGCTGGGGAGGGGGCGAGTGAAGGGGTCTCTCCCTGGCCAGGAGAAGGGGCCAAGGGACTTGACTTTGAACTCCAACAAGCTCAGATTTGTCAGCTGCAAAGACAAAGGCTAGACTTTTAGCGAAACAATTTGGGGGAGCCTGGGGCACCTGGGTGGGGGACAGGAGGGACATATCGGAGGGAAGAGACTCCTGCAAAAGGACTGGGGGTTAGATTATAGGGAGTTTCCAGCGAGAATGGGATACTTTGGTGAGAGAGTGAATGCCAATATGGAGACCTGGAACGTGGTGAAAGGAACCCTGCCCCCAGCACATATATCCATGACCTCCTGTCCCTGGAACTCAGATCTGGGGGCAGGGGACCAGGCCAGGCCAGGGCTATAAATACAGTGGGTGTGTGTGTCGGGGGAGCTCAGGTTACAGAGGCCCCAGCTGTCCCCATCAGAGACAGCTGGCAGGAGACATGAGGCCTTGCCTGTTTGTGTGTGTCACTATCTCCCACTCCTCACCTGTCATGATTGACCCCAGTCTTTGGGTCTCCATCCCTTTTTATGGTCCCCCCTCTGTTTCTGTCCCTTGATTTCTTAGGGCCTCTGTCCCCCCTCCGTGGGATGTCCTCCATCCCCCTCTCACTCTGAGCTTGTCTACCGTCTCATTCTGAGTGTGTGCCCCACACAAGTCTTCTCCCTTTCTCCTTGGGTCACTGTACCCCCTCTCCCAAGTCTCTGTCCTCCCTTTCTGAGTTTCTCCCCATCAGTCCATGTGTCCCCTCCCTCCATCTCCAGCCGCCACCTCTGTGGGTCTTTGCCCCTCCCCCAGCCCCGCGGTCTCTGTCCCCAGTCTCCCTATGTCCTTGTCTCCCGCTCTCTCTTTGTATTACCGTGTCCCCCCTCCCATCTCTGGCACCTCCTGTCCGGAGTCTCTCGGCCTCCGCACCCCCCGGTCCCCGGTCCCCTCTCTCGGTCTCTCTGCGGCAGCCTCGGGCCCCGCCCTCCACTCGAGTGTTTCCGAGACTCCCGGCCCAGGCGGGGCGGGGAAGCGGCGGATCCGGTTTGTCCTGGGCGGGTCTGGAAGGGGGGTTGGTGGACGGAATACCGGGCGCCCGAAGGGTTGGGTTCCGCTGCTGCCATGGTGGTTCCGGAGAAGGAGCAGGTAGAGCGCCGGGCCCTGGGGCCGGAGGAGCGGGGAGCGGGAGACCTGGCCCCCGGCCCCGGAGAGGAGGGCGCTGGAGACCAGATTCCTGGGTCAGACGCAGGGGAGTGGGGGTGGGGAGCCCGGACTCCCGGGCCCCTGGGGACGGGCAGGAGGGGACTTGGGGGTCGAGACGGCTGAGTCCGAGAGAGCGGGGCGCTGGGGTCTCGGCGGTAGGTCACGGGGTGGGGGACTCCGTATCCCGTAGGATTGAACTGGGCTCCCTCCATCTCGCCCCTTGTCCCTGTCCCCAGAGCTGGATCCCCAAGATCTTCAAGAAGAAGATCTGCACGACGTTCATAGTTGACCTCACAGATCCGGGGTGAGGAGTTCGTCCCGGGGACCGAGCCCAGCCGCAGAACCCGCCCCCCGAAGACCCCTCTCCCTTCCCCCTGTTCCTGGCCTTGCGGACCTTCCCCAGGGCGTCCCCTGCTGCGCTCCCCCTCGGGAGGGTTGGGCCTGTGTAAACGCTCCCGTTCTCCGTCGTCCCGCTCACAGTCAGTGTAAAAGCTCCAGGGCTCGGTTCGGTTTCTTTTCTTTCTTTCCTTCCTTCTTTCCTCCCCTTCCTTCCCTTTCTTTCGTTTCTTTCCTTCTTTATGTCTCTTTTATGTTTCCGTGTCTTTGTGTCACTTTGTCTCTGTCTTTTGACTATCTCTGTCTCGTTCATTCACTTGTTCATTCATTCATTCACCCATCCAAGAAAGCTTCACTCAGGGCTCCCAAGGGCGGGGGCCCATTCAGCATGATTCAATGGCCCTGCCAGGGTTCAAATTTCATTGGGAAGCATGGTTTGTGGCTTTGGGCAAATCATTTCACCTCTCTGGGCCTTGTCATCTGGACATAAAAACAGGCCTTATCTCCCGAGGTTCTTGTGAGAATTAAACAAGATAATGTTTGTTATATTTCTGGAACAGTGTCCAGCATATAGTAAGTACTAGAAAACACCCGCAATTCCCACTGGAATTATTACGGTGTGCAGACGCTGTGTAGGGCAGCCAGGGATACTGCCTGAGCCAGACAGGGTGTTGCTGCCCTCGAGGAGCTCCTGGCCTGTAGTGATGGTCTCTCAAGTGGATTTGGGCTTTTTAGTTGTTCTCAAGACAATCTTTGCAGAGTGGGAAACGTCAACATTTCTAATATAGTGTGTGGTTTTTCTGCTTTTTTTTTTTATAGTGTGTGTTTTGTTATGAAAATATTAGCGCAGTACAGCTTGTAAATTATGTATAAACAAACAGATATACATTTATTGGGCGTGAGTGCTCATAAATGTTTTACTGATGGGGGGGTGTGTGGTCAAGCAAGTTTAGAAACCTCTGGTCTGGCAGGAGGAGGAAGACATAGCGGACAATTGTGGTAAGTCCAGGGGATAGCAGCTTCCACCCTGAGACATTGTCCTCGGGTGCTAAGGAGCCAGGAGGGGTGGGGTTGGCTTTGGGTGTAGAAACACCCTCTGGGGCTGTGTGAGGATGAATAGGAGTTTGGAAAGCCAGGGAAGAGGCTGGGTGGAGGGTCTACGTGGGAGGGGAAGAGACCTGAGCCAGGCCAGGGCTATAGGGACACAGAGAGGAGGGGATGGGGTGAAGATTCAGGGGGCAGGAGGGTGGAGCTTGGAGACTGATGGATGTGAGAGGGAATGGGTGGAAGCTGGCTCCCGAACACATGGTCTGGGACACAGCTGGGTCATCAGGAGATGGGGAACCCAGGAGGAAGAGCAGGTTTCAGAAATGTCACTAAGCTCAGCATGAGACTTTGTGTATCGGGGGCCTAGGGGGACTCAGGGGTGTGTGAAAATAAAGGTTTGGACTTACATCCAGGATCTGAGAAGTCCTAGCTGTACATGCTAATTGAAACTGTGGAAGTAGGTGAGATGTCACAGGGAAAAAAAGTGTAAAGTCAGGGGGGTTGCAAACTGGCAATTCTATGGCCAATTTGTGTGTGTGTGCACATGCGTGCACGTATGTGGAAGGGTATTTTTAAAAGCCTGTTTCTGAATGCCTTAAGACAAACATGCACACTTCAAATCCCCACAGCCTACAGCACATCCACTTATTTTCTGATGCTTCTTCCTATGAAGTTACTTGCATGGCCCCTGGGGGCAGCAACTTTGAGAACCTTGTAGGGAAGCCACTGTGGTCCTCGGTATGCAGAACGCCCACACTCAAGGAAGGTGAAGAGCAAGAGAAAGCCACAAACAAGGCAGGGACAGGGCACTGGGGAGGGGGAGATGACCAGGGGGCCAGGTGTACCCTGCCAAGGAAGAGGCTTTCCAGAATCAGCCTTTCAGCTGTGACCAGTGCCAGCTTGCAAGACAGCCAGGTGAGGCCTGAATAGGGGCCATTGTATTTGGGGACTTGCAGCTAATTGCAGCTGATCTTACTGAGAACAATTTCAGTTTGGGTGGCCACACTGGACTGAGGTAAGAGGGTAAGTGGTGAGGCGTGCAGAGGGGATATCTCCTGGCACTGTCCACCAGAATTTTCTGCAGTGGTGGAAGCGTTCTATATCCATATCCAATATGGCAGCCACTGGCCACATGTGGCCCCTGGGCACTTAAAATCCAGCCAGTGTGACTGAGGAACTGAATTTCCATTTGATTTAATTTTAATTTATTAGAATGTAAGGAGCCTCATGAATATAAAGAACACCATGCACCTAGGGGCTACTGTATTGGACAGTACAGGCTCTGGATCATTCTTCAAAGAAGTTTTGCAGTGAAGATCTAGTGGGAAGTAGGCAGAAGGGCTAAGGATAGGGCTGAGATGAGTGAAAGGATAAAGTGGATAAACTGAGGCACACCAGGTCTGTGGAGTTAGACTCAGGAAGGAGGAGGGACCCACCTTCACTAGTTCTCTCCGAGCCAGGAACTGGCCTAAGCATATTCTGTTCGTTTTGTGTGTGGATCACTTGGCTGTTCTTTCAGTGTCTTCACAGCTTTTGCCAAATTCACATCCCACCATCATTTCCATAAAACTGGTCCTTAAATTGGCTCACTTCATGTATGTAAATACAAGTCTCCTCCACTATCTGAATTTCTTCTGGAATTGGGGACCAAAGAGGATTAGGGATTCTCAAATGAATCCCTCAGTCCCCAATTACTTATTCTTTGAAGCCCAGGTGGCACTCACATTTAGGTAGCAAGGGAGACTTGGTACATATATTTAGCGGGGGAGAAGCTGGTTTTTTGTTTGTTCGTTTTCGGTGTTTTTGTTTGTTTGTTTTTGCGGCTTGGCCAGTGCGGGGATCTGCGCCCTTGACCTCGGTGTTAGGACACCATGCTCTAACCAGCTGAGCTGACTGGCCAGCCCCCTGGAAGAAAAGTTTGGTATGTGATCACCATAAGCAGAAAACCTGTTCGATTCGCCACAAAGAAAGAAACAAGCTATAGAAGACAAATACAACGCACCTGATCTTAGCCAAAAGGCTGAAAAGCGATGACAAATACGATGAAAAGCAAATAAAGGCGTTTGCCTTCCGGCTGGATG